CATCCTTGGACTAATTAAGGTAGCTCAGCTAAATCCTGATTTTCCTGATTGTGGACTAAAATGCTAGCCATCTTAGCCACCTGCTTATGGGCTTACCTCTTTGGTAGCTTAATTATAGACAGAATGAATTAACTTCATTAATCAAAAATTTATCAAGTACTTATGCTAATTTGTAATTATAGACAGAATGAATTAACTTCATTAAACATTTATCAAGTACTTATGCTAATGTGTCTTCTATTTTGGTATTTAGTAAATTACTCAGGTCTTTGAGTAATTAAAAATGCAAGTACCCAGTCCCTACTTTAGTCCTACTGAATCAGAATCTCCAAGGAGTAGCCTCTAGAAAGAAGATTTTTTAAAAAGCCTGTTTTCGGTGAGCTCTGCAAATGGAAAGAACAGGACAGTCCTTGTGTGTTGCTAAACTATCGTAGGTAAGCTAGAGCAATGACAGTTCATCTAGGCGCTAGTGAGATACGTACAGACACTCACGAGAGGGAGAGGGGGCTCTGTCAAAGGGAGGCCCGTGGTCCGGGGTGCCATCCAGTTAGTGCGGCACCTACCGTCCGTCAGACTGGTCAATGGGACACAGTCACTGCTGTAGACTGTGCCTCACATTCCCTCCAATCCGATGGCGTCAGATGTCGAATGAGAGTACAAGAGGACTTGAAAAAGTTTGTGGAGCAGTGAAATTAAGGTATAAGTTTGTATTTGGATAAAAAATGTAAAATTTATGCATAATTTTTTCAAAATATTGATTTTCCATGAACTTTCTGAGGACTCTTTGTACACCTTGCCCCATACCATCCTGCTCTAGTAACCAATGGACTAGGGGGACAGGAGTGGAGAGAAGATCTGCTCTCTTGTCGATGCTTTCATTTCCAACGGACCTGGTTGTTGTTAAGTGTATCTATGTATGTGTCCCACGAATAGGAGAATCTCCTACAGGGTCGTAATGACATGATCCCACTCCAGTGTTCAGCCAGCCCCACATGGTGGGCAGGCATGTGCCTGGCATACTCATAGAGGTTTCTGGCCATGAACAAGAACCGCAAGTCAGCCTCACAGAGCGTGGCATGCTGCTGGCACGCCACTGTCCACCTCCTCTAAAGAACATGGTCATGTTCCCCTGTGGCAGTGCGGCTCAGGACAGATTCACAGGAGAATGCCTACTAGGTTTACAATCAGAAAACACAGGGTTCAAGGCTGACCCTGTTATTTTATTAGCAAGGCAATTTACTTTGCCTCACTGACACCTTGTTTCTCGTTTTCTTATTTATCAAGGCAGGTAATAAAATCTATGTTATGGAGTTGTTTTGAGAATTATATAAAATAATAATATAATACAGAAACTGCTCACCATTGTGCTTGGCATATGGTTAGTGCTAATAACAGCATTTGTTTTTATTAATATAAATAATAAAGGACCTCTTTTGCATGTTCCTTCTCCAGAAGTCAATGCCAACCACTCTGCATTGTGCCAGTTCCCCAGGACTCTCTGACACCATCCCAGCACTCCTGGCCCGAGAATCAGGGCAATCATCTTCAATCTGGACCCCATTTTCTCTAATGTGGGTTAGCTTCATGAAAGTCCCCAGGTAATTTGTACACTTCCTCCAGCCCCCCCCCCCCCACAGGGCATGTCTGTCACTTGCTCACTTCTGTCCCCACAGAGGTTTATTGCTCTGGGTGGTGAGTCTTCAGCAGTGTGTGCATGGCACCTCCCAAGGAGCTTTGTTAGCATATATATGCGGCTTCCCATGTTGGACTTAATGAACCATCATTTCTCTGGCAGGGCATTGCTAAGTGCATTTTACCTTCTCAGACAGTGCCAATATTCAGGCCTGATTAAGAAAGACTGTCTTTGTGGATATCTGCCCAGCACTGTCTAACTCGGCTAGCACAGCATGAGTCTTCTAGCAAAAATGAATGGTGTTCACATAGCCCTTTAAAACTCAGAGATACTGACCCTGTGTGATAAGCCAGGGAGGGAGGATCCTGGCGAGAGGGAACACATGACAGGAAGAACTCTGTGTAGAAAGGGCTCTATATACAGCCCTGGGCGAGGTGCATCCTAGGTACACAACAGGCTATTGCGATTGTATGTGATTCTTGTGTGTGGCCCTCAGGATCCCCACCTCCTGGAAAGACCTGTTTCCATTTGAGGAGAAAAGTCTCCAGGCCTGGGAATTCAGAAATGAGCAGGTTGTTGGGGAAGCACGTAGCACCTATGACACGAGGTGTCATACACAGGCTGGCAGCAAAATCACAAAGAGGGGACAACATTGTAAACCTTGTTTTCTTTTCCTCTTTTGCTTCTACATTAGACAGGAAGGAGAGCAGCGTGTTGGAAGCTAATGCAGACATGGGAAATGATGCTCCCCTAAGACTCACTTCCCACGTTTTGTGATCAACATAGCCAACCTCACATTGTCACAGGCTTTGATTTTTGTCACTCTTAGCACTCGTGCTTGAGGGTTAGGGTTCTTGGTGGCTGCAGCTGATGCTGGCTGCTCAGCAACCACAGGTCCCACTGATCCTACATGCAAAGTCTCTCTGCCCTCTGCCAAGAGACTTAGAGCAGAGATTTAAGTAAAAGATGGGAGATGACTGACCCAAAAGAAGGAGGATATTCTGAAGTCAAATGAGACATTTGTGAAACACTTTGCAAAGTACAGATCTCAAATGATCTTCATCAAGAGCAGCAGCAGCAAAAACCCTATCGGGCACGGGGGGAGGGGGATAGACCTCAGCCTGCCCTGAAGCTGAGGCAAGGTCCTGAATTTCCTCCTCAGCCAGCCGCTGAGCCTGCACCTTGCTGCACGGAGGCTGCCTGCTCAGCCCTTGGAATTTCAGCTAAGCTGAGGACGCTGATTTTGGCTCAGTGGTTCCTTTTCTTCAGGAAAACTGTCTTCGGGGCTTTACCCTTGAACTGCCTACTGCTCATCTGACAAATGCAGACAGCACAGGCGTGAGCTAGTACTCTAGTGACTGAAAATGTATTGTAGGACATTTAGGATGCACGGGAAAACTTGCCAGTCGAACCCACTTCCACGCTTTTATAACCAGAGAAAACATGGAAAATACTCTTTTCCTTAGCCAGACCCTTACTGAAAGACGGTGTGTGTGTATCTGAGAGGGAGGGGGAGTCTTGCTTTCGTTCATCAACAAAGACATAATGGCTCCCAACAAGAACCAGCCCTCTTTCGGATTTGCAGGAAAGCAGGGCTGTGCGGACCCCAGGTGCCATACCAGTCCTGGGCAGGGACCTCTTTCTAGCCCTTGGTGATGTGCCTTTATCAGCAAGCAAACCCCTACTCCCGCCAGGCGTACACATGAGGGAGTATCTGCGTTAGAAAGATTCCTGCAACACGGCGAGGTGCAATTCAAAATCTGAGTTCTCCTTTCCTGAGCTTAGACTCAACTTCTGAGATAGAAGGCGCCATAGGCAGAGGACCGCAGGCAGAGACCGGAGAAGGCGCCTGGCACGAGCAGGTCGCTTCCAGCCGTGACTAAGAGCCGCCAGCAGGTGTCAGTGCGTCCTCGCGCTGCCGCTGTCCGCGGCCCGCGGC